TTGCCGCCAATCTTGTACTATGTACTAATACTATTCATAAAGTCTTGGTGCCAAATCTTTTCGTTTCTACATCGAGGATGAGGGTGATTATATTAAACAGCTTTTTCTAAGTTGAATATGTTTACAATGTTTTAAGTATAGTATTTCTTCAATTAAAATATTTTTCCATTTTTAAGAAGTTGTTCTTAATTAACGGACGCACACTGTAAATGTGTACGCGTTTGAATCGATATGGAAGGCACCAGATATAATGAAATTTTCAAAATCTTCTATTATTTAACATTGATATAATTGTCCATGATTTAGGCTAGACTTGTACCGATTGCCACTCACCGTCATTTGCCTTGACAGAACTGTTTTAAGTCGGGACAAGACAGGAAACAATTTCAAATGATTTCCCCAAATAACATTTTGATTAGACATACGCAGACAGATATACCTGGTACACATACAGAGTCAATTTGGGACCGGAATTGCTAATTGGCTACATTTAGACCGTTCCCTAAATCACTACCTCTCTCATTGCACTCAAAGCGAGAGAGTTAGCGTCAATCCCAAATGTCTGGTTTGTCCCAAAACGAAAATGCAGATTAGACTGTTTGTTACCAATCCCATATATACGTGGGATTCCTACTTTAAAACCGACTTTGTTATACATTTGGAGTGGGCGAATTGATAAGTAATTATATAGAAATAAATTATTATGATACGGGTTTATGTAATCATTATAAGTATAATGAAATGGAAGAAGTTCGAATTTCCTTTGCATATATTTTTTTCACGAATATTCATCAGATTTTTAGATTTTATATCCAAATCTCTATCTATGTATATATTTATAAAATAAAAATGTTAATATTACTTTTATATTCTCTCTCTCTCTCTCTCTCTCTCTCTCTCTCTCTCTCTCTCCAATGGATTAAATAATATTGATGTTGGTCACATACAAACTCGTTTTCTCGACGCTTGACTTTACATTTGAATGATAACTAACATTTTTAGGCATTTAAAACGACATGTCTGGCTGCGAACACAATTCCGGAAAATCCTTGTTGAAAGCACAACTATACTTAAAAATGAAAACAATAAACAAAAACTAAAATTTCTTGAAACCTAAACTGAAGAAAATAAACTACAAAATCTCCACAAATATTCTTAAATGCCTATAATTGATAACAGAAGCCATTAGTTTATACCAACGGCTTCCCATACTTTTCGCTTCCTCGTCACGTATACACGAGTTAGTCGTTGCTTTGAAATTTTTCATGCAACAAAAACAGACTATCATTACTGTTTCGTCTGTGTATTTGTTGATATATTGAAAAGTAATTGTCATCTTTGATAATGGCTTATGTAAGTCGAAAGCTTAGACTGGATTTAAACACGTATCAATAGGGTGATTTCCCTTCGTCTTTCAGTGATAATGTTATTAAGCTTATCAGACAATATGAAAGGAACTTACTTAAAATAAATAGACAAAACTTGTCTATATTATTTAATGAAACATGCATTAATATATATATATATATATATATATATATATATATATATATATTATATATACCTATTTATCTATCTAAATAATTTAGAGAATTTACATCCGATATAATGGAAATAAAATAAAGATATTAATTGTATTTGAATAATAATCGGCATTCATACTGATTTACTAACATGTAATTGAGCAGATAAATAGCATCAAATAGAATTTGGAATGCTAAATTGTAAGTAATATGGAAAATAATCTGGAGTTCCAAGACGTTTGTGTACAACGTCATATGTGTGGGTTTATGTCTGCGTATGGGGCTATGTGCACGTTTGCAATTATTGACATTGCCTTTATTAACTGTGATGTTCTCAGTACACACAAACGAATACACACACACAAACATATATCTATCTATCTATACACACTATAAATATAGAAATTTTATATATATATATATATATATATATATATATATATATATATATATATATATATATATGTATATCTATGTGTGTGTGTGTGTAAAAAACAATATATACGATTTTATTTATCAAGCTAATGACAAAGTGTAAACGTTTCTCAGCATTCCTTCTCCTTATTGCTCATATTTATAGTGAAATAATGCAACAGTATAAAAGATAGCCTTTATAGAGAGAATATGGACTTCGGAGTCATAATTATGTGGTGAATGTCACTTTCAAACCTGTGATGTAAAAATAATAGTTACATTAAATGTTGAAAGATCAAAAATTAAAACTTAGCCGTGGTGTTTCGTTTCGTTTTGTGATGGACATTATGAAACGAAACACGTCGGCTACGATAATTGTCTTTTGTCTTTATTCATATTGTGCTTTTCCAGATAGATATTTTTAGTTATATTTAAATTTCACATACTCACAAGCATATATATATATTTATTCAATAAAATCTACAATGGCTAAAACTACGGCCACCAGGCGATTTCGGAATCTCCTGCAACTCTTCTGGATTATCTCTTTGATTAATTTGGTGAATGCTGCTATAATCCTTGCCTTCAGTTCATTTTTGGCGTTACTAGGAGTTTTGTTGGTCTCTCGGTCAACTGTGCCCCACACATAATAATCAAGGGGGTTGCAGTCTGGGGAGTTAGGAAGCCAGGTGTAAGGGGTGATATTGTTGCAGAAATTGTCCGACATCCATCACGGGGTTATCTAGCTTGTCTGACATGGTGTAGAGCCACCTTCTTGACCCAACAGCACAACCACCACAAAGCTCTCGTAGTAAGCCCAAGTGTAGAGTCTGAGGCACTATGGGAAAATCATTGGAGCCTTAACGCCGCCATCACTAGTGATCACTCCCAAACACCTTCGTCATCACCATGAGACTCATCCAACTCTTTCTGAATCCCCTGCACTGTACTCAAATTGCCACCCAAACACACTTGAATATTCATATTGGAGATTCCGGCGTGAATGCTAAGCAATACTGCATGCCGTTTCCAAATTTCTGACGCAGTAAATTGCGTCATGGTGCAAGTTTTATCACACACAGTGTCCAACTGACTCTACTATAGATTCCAATCGATAAAATGAGAAAAAACAACATGCAAGGCGCGAAATAAAATATAAAAAGGAGATCATTTACACATCGCACCCTATATATATATATATATATATATATATATATATATATATATATATATATATATATATATTTCGAATAGGTACTCCCAGAACAGCAACAAACGCATACCAAGACGTTCGGCGTTTTTAAAGCTAAAATGGAACGAATCTATCAGGTTCCCAATAGACTTTTTGACGATTTTTATAAAGGAAATTAAAGATGCATATTTAAATCTCACAATGCACCCAACCAGTCAGAAAAACAACTCACTCTCCAACAAACGCGGTAGCCATAATCCCCGAATTTTTCTCCCCGATTCGAGAAAACCAACTCCTTTTATCGGCCGAGCATTTTTTTTTAATTCGTCGACAGCTCGGAGAGGACGCTCAATTTTTTGCATATCAAAATACTTTTATGGTGACTCCTGCAACGGACTTGTTTTTTTTAAATTTAAATATTCCGTCTTCATCATGTCATGCGGAATACGTGCCCTTTTTGGGGGTAAGTAATTTTATTTTTGCCACATTTTCCGTCGTAGGATACACGCGACGCGCTGTCGCTTGGTTTGACAAGGTAAGTCGCCGTTTTCTTCGCTATATATAAAAGAATTGCAGATGGTTGCCGTTGATAGACCGTTGTGAAGTAGATTCAGTGTGGCTTCTGCCTTCGCATCCCCCACTACAAGGGGATGATGATGATGATGATGATATCACCCGAAGAAAGCCGGAGCGTACAACGGCTGGAACGTTGTGAATATACCAATGAAGATGAGGATAACAGTTCGAATAATGTAAATTATGCAAGTAATAATAATACCTCATTTCAGAGATATAGACAGATATTGAATACTTTATTTTATCTACGGCGGTGGATTTGTCTCATATAGATATCGTCTAATTCTTATTTTTAGTACTGATCGCCTTGTAACCTGCGAAAACACATGGCCCAATGTAGGGAGGGCACTGACAATTACGTTGTCATCAAATTCAAGAATCAACTCTTCATCCACGTAGTGCAATTCTGAGTAGAGAACATGGGGACTTAAATCTGTGCTGCCTGCTGATGAGTGCTGCCGCTGCTGCTTGACTGTATTAAGACCTTTGTTTTTTCTGACTGCAGTTTATGTTGCTGCTGCTAGAGTATTACAGAAAAATGAAATTACATATTGTGGATGTCAATAAAATGTGAAAAAGTCATTTTTATAAGAAAATATTTCTTTTCCTCTGGCAATATCTGCCCACAAGTTGAGAGATTATTGATTATGTAATCATTATAGCAAAAATGGCATCTTTAGCATTGATAGCATGCTAAAAAATAATATAATCTACTCATTTATGTCGTACATCACGTGTTAATCCGGGCCTTAATTCCCACGCCTTTCTTCATGTTTTTATTATTCGCACTAAAGCAAGGAATATACGATATTCCATTGACCAAATAAACCAATATTTCAAAAGACAAACGCAAACCTTTCAACGCGTATTCCTTCCTGTTTATTTGTTGTATGTTAGTATTTTATGAGCCGAATGACAATTCCTAGGAAGGAGCTTTCAGTTATTTTTTGTCAATTTTCTACTAAATATAAATGCACGTTCCCGTACAAGTGAAGGGAAAATGGAAGGAATCTAGTGATATTATTGGAGAGAAAATGACGGCGTTTCTGTGTGTAGCATCTACCATAATCTATCTTTGCAATTTATTTCATCCTGACTCTAGCTGTCGTACCGCAGGCGAACCAATCATTTGCAACGATACCTGGAATAATAATAAAAAAAATAGGCGAATATATATAGCTACTTATAGTCACATAAACATCTGCACATGCGCACTAAATACTGACAAGCAGACATGCATTATCGTTATAGGCAGAGCAAGCATTGTTTGTTGTGCAATCATGTAGGCGTATAAAATGACTTCGTGTCAAGTACATAGGTGTAATGATTGTTATGTCTTCATACAGACTAAGAACAATAATAGATTCTTATATATGTTGGTATAAATGAGCTACATGCATATAGATAGTGATTTTTTGTGTGTAAAAATCTCAAGGAATTCTTTCTTGTTCATTATGATGAAATAAAAAATAAACAAGGTTGACTGTTTCAGACATTAGTTTCCTAGTCCATAATTTCTTATTTCCTTCAATCAATATCTGAATTTTAGTTAAGGTATCGGACATCCTTCTTTTTTTTTTCGGTTAATTTCATTTTTACCTCAAAAGATCACGCCATTCCGATTTGTTTCAACTTCTTAAAAACGTTTTGTTTTCTTTGTTGTTGTATTTTTGTACATCTCCTTTCTTTTCTTTCAAGGTTTCTGTCTTTCACTCATTTTTCTTCCGTTTACTATCATTTCTACTTTCTCATTTTCTATTTTTTTTCTCCTTTGTTCATTATTCACTTTTCTTTTTTTTTCATTCTTTCGCGTCCTTGCTTTTACATCTTCCTGTTTCTTTCTTTTCCTTTCATTTCCCAATTGTCTATCATTCTTTTTCAGTCAATTTATTTTATACGGTCATTTTCTTTCATCGTACTTTCTTTCTTTTTCTTATCTCTTCCTTTTTCTTATCTGTTCCTTTTTCTTCTCTATCTATCAATCTTTCTTTCATCTAAAACTCATTTTTCTTTCCTTTACTCTCACTCCCATTTTTTCTTTCTATTTTTGGGGGGATTTTCATTTCTTCACTGTATTCTTTTTCTCTATTTTACTTTCACCATGTCTTCTTTCTTTATTTCTTTCTTTCTTTGTTCAGTTTTATATCGTCTCAATCTGTTTTTTTTTATTGCTCAATTCCCAAAAGCTTTTCTTTCTTTGAATTTGTTTTCCTTCTATTTCTTCAATCATCTCTCACACTTTTTCTTTTTTATTCTCCCACCATGTCAAGCAAGGAAAAAAGTTGACGTGATTATAATTAATCTTTATATGAAAATGCAAAAAAAATATGTTTAAAAATAGAACAAATCGTTTTTTTATTCGCTGAAAAAAAAAAAAAGTAGTGCTTCCAAAACACAGAGAATTACCCGGGAATCAAATTCTCTTTCTCTGTTTTTCTTTTTCTTCTATTTTCATTTTTTCTATCTCCTTTCTCTTTCTTTTTCTCTCATCATTCTTTCTTTCTTCATTTATTATTTTCTTCATTTCTTACTTTCTTTATCATACTTTCTTCATTTCATTCTTTCTTCATTTCTTTCTTTCTTCATTTCTTTCTTTCTATCTTCTATCTTTCTTTCTTTCTTTTCAGAGATCTGAACTGTTAGCGCACCTTGCTTCGAATCTCTTCGTGAATTCTATCTTTTCAAATTATTTCTCTTAATTCTATTTCTACGATAGACATTTTCAAAATTGCTTCGCACCTTCAATTTTAATCTTATTCCGATAAATAATGGCTGAGTGTCATTCGAAAACTAATTTGAAAGAAATATTTTGAAATGCTATTAAGAGAAAGAGAGAGAGAGAGAGAGAGAACAAAAGAGAAAGTGTTGGATGTTTGACTATGTCCATTTTAAAGGATCTATCTCATTAACCATAGGTTTAGTTTTTGTCAGACTCATATCTCGTATTTCACTATTATTAATGTCAACTCATCCGATCTCCGTATATATAGGTATCCCTTGCTATCGACCTATTCTTCATAGTTTTCTGTTAATTTTTATAAGAAAAATCCCAGGGTCAGTCATTTTGTGGATCTAGACTGGAAAAGTCGACGGTCAATTAATACTGGAAGATGACATAAAGATATATATATATATGTAAGCAAATATATGGATATAGATCCGACAGTATGAAGGAAATATACGGAAAAACAAACAAAAATCCTTATATGCAATTATGCTGTTTTAACAGCATAATTGCATATAAGGATTTTTGTTTGTTTTTTCCGTACATTTTTCCATATATTTATATATATATATATATATATATATATATATATATATATATATATATATATAGAAAAGCGCCCAATTCCTCGAAAACTGTCATCGGGTGAGAAAGAGAGAAAGTGAGAGAGAGAGAGAGAGAAGGAGAGATAAAGATACAGACAGAAAGAAAATTTAACTCTTAAGTAGTTCAATGTGATTTAGATACACTTGTTTCATCCAGAGAAACAAAAACGATTTGTTTTATTTTGAAACATATTTTCGATACATTTTCATGTAAAGGTAAATTAAAATCTCGTCGATTTTTCCTAAAAGATTTTTGAGGCCGACAAGATATCGAATGTAAACATCTAATTATACAACAAAAATGGCAGTTGTTATACAAGACATCCCTTGTCGAATTATCGAGCAGAGATTCTGAAAATTCGCCTCTGCAAAGATACGATACGCAACAACAAGTTACGTACTTAAGAGGAAGTACTACTGAAAATGATTCTATGATATTGTGGCATGGTTTCTATCAATCTCTTTCTCTACAACTGCACTTACAAGTATATATATATATATATATATATATATATATATATATATATATATATATATATATGTGTGTGTGTGTGTGTGTCCATATACATATATATATATATATATATATATATATATATATATATATATATATATATATATATATATATATATATATATATATATATGTGTGTGTGTGTGTAAATATCTTCCTTAAACATCCTGTTGAACATAGGACGAACATTTTTTCTGGAAAGGTGGCCAGGCAATATTAGAGAAATCAATCTAGCATGATATCTAATTTTATAAATTAAGGATCGGAAGCACATGAAGGATTGAAATAAATTATATATATATATATATATATATATATATATATATATATATATATATATATATATATAGGCGAGTGTAAAATAAAATAAAATAAATAAATAAATCTCCATAGACAAGCAAACTAGACGATGGCCAATACATTTTTGACACCCCCACCTTTCCCCGACTTGACACCTTGAAAGTATCTCTATACCGCTACTTATTATAAACACCCTACACTCGCCTACACAATTTAGACAATTCACCATAGCTGTTACTATGGGGATTTTGATTTCAATTTTAAAACAAGTAAATTTTAGTTATACGTTATTCCAACAAAAATTTCGCTTGAAGATGGAACGGAGCCCATTTTAATTTAAACTCAATTTAATTTAAAGGATTATATTGAAGTTTTCGGCTCTTGTTTTGAAACATGAGACCTCTTATGTAGCGATTTGGAATCATATTTTAAATTTTTAAATATATATATATATATATATATATATATATATATATATATATATATATATATATATACAGACTGGGTTCTATAGCCTTGGATGGTAGCTGGTCTAGGAGAAGGACGCATCTGAATTCAAAACCTGCGGAGTGTCGTTTGGGGAACTTGTGGCACTTTGTGCACCAGGTCTCTCTATTCGGTCCTTCAAAAAGTGTGGATGGTCCTGCACTAAGCCTTCACCACTATAATCAAATATCATGTGCTATTGTCGGGCTCTCGGTTTCCTGGGAACTGATCTCCTTGGCTCTCATACGTCGCGACGGGAGAGTCGAATACATACACACACACACACACACACACACACACACACACACACACACATATATATATATATATATATATATATATATATATATATATATATATATATATATATATAAGGCCTATACCCACAAAAAAAAGAAAAGGAGTCAGTTTACATGTAGGAGACCCTTTCGACCAACATAGTGTCAAAAGGAGAAACTGTAATTCTCTATTTTCTTTATAATTCTGAGTACCATCCTGTAATTTTTCTGAAGGGCTTCAAATTAGAAGATTTTATGTATTTAGATCTATCTATCTATCTATCTATCTATCTATCTATATATATATATATATATATATATATATATATATATATATATATATATATATATATATATATGGACCGAGTGACAGCCTGTTTCATGCTTGAGTGCACTCTTTGGGACATCTTTCAAACCTGAAACAGACTGTAGCTTTTCTGTGTTGACCTTAGTGTTTACATTTATATTTGATATTTACATCCGGTCCCTGACTTATAGTAAATTTGTTTTTCATAATTGATATGTTAAAAGTCTTAAAATTGATATGTCATCGCAGTCAGGTTATTTTTTTTATTTTATTTTTTAAGCGTTTCAACCCAAGCATGCGAGAAGCCACTAGCACACAAGGGGTATCGAAACGTTTAATAAAGGCGCAACTTGAATTGGTGAACCTAAACCAGTTCGTGTATTCACGTACTTATAAAATCTCAATCTAAAAGACGACACATTGCGTTCAATTTTTATCAATTGTGATACTTACATTTGAACTGATTTCGATCATCAACACTTGAAGTAATGATCAAAATTCCTCTTCTACTTAGGCTGATGGTGACAACTCTAATTTTTATCCGTGTCTTTATCTACTAAATACCCTCAGGGCCCAATAGATCGTTGGGTTACCCTGTTGGATCCTACACAGATTTTATTGATGTACTGGGAGTTACTTCATGATGATCACCTTCTTTAAAAGTTCATATAATTTGTCACATGTCTTTTTTTATCTGCCATCTTCCTTCAGGACACAGACGATCATGGCCCTTCACATCTTCCTGTCCATTGTAGCTTTTAATAAGTTTTGTCTTTTCGTCATTTATCCCAAACCGTTCAAGCTCATCAAGTACGTTACACGTTGCTTTCTTCTGTTACGCTTTCCATCTATCTGTCACGTGAGTATCAAATTTTCTAAGCTCTCCTTCCTCATTACATGCACCAGTGACCTCAACTACCTCGTTCTGATGTTAAATATAAGTTGTCTTTTTTTTTTAGATTCCATTCTCTCCAACACCTCGTTGTTGTACACATGCTTGGCCCATGCATCTTTTTGTAGAACCATATTGCTTAAAGATTCTTCTTCATCTCTGATAAGATTGTGCAGCATTCGCTGCCATACAGGAGGTCAGATATCACGTCACAGTTCAGTAATTTTTCGTGTACCATCTTCAAATTCTTGTCGGTGCCCTATTCCTATTTTAAGGTGTCGATTTTCACTTTTACATAAACCACCTCATCTGGAATTAGAATTTGAGGATTCTATTTTCTCTTATATTACCTATTAGATCATATTTTTCCCTACCAATTCCCTTCTGTCCAAATATACCTATCTTATATCTATATTCAAGATTCTCATTCCTTATATATTTTCTTTTCTCTTTATTCTAACTTGTAAATGATCAATGTTTTCAATCACAAGCAAGATTCAGAATGGAAACGCATCATTGGCTACAACACTGCTCCAAGCAACAGCACATAATCATTAGTTTCGGCGCCATAGTAATCAACTCACTTCTCTTTACGCTGGGGACCGGACTTGATTAGAAGTGATTTTCCTTTCGTTGTCATGTTGTCTCTCAAACTACTACTACTATTATTAAAGCCATTTTGACATGCGCAACAGTTATTACCCATTCATAATATATTCAACTTCGCAAATCAAGCTTCTTCGCTGTTAAAATTTCGAATGAATGCTCCAAATCATCTGTCTTTCATTTCTTAGCCTTGAAGCGACTTCTTCAAGGAACGCATAATTTTAATTTGGAAATATAGCAGAACAAAAAATCCTTAGGGTTCTTGGGTTAGTCTTGTTTCAGCGTTAGGAAAGAAAACAGGGAGCCAGAAATGTTTAGCTTCATCCGAAGAAAAAACTTATGAAGGTTCTTTCTAATATGGCATTTAAAGGTATGTTCAGATCGAACAGATAGCTTTAGTTTTTAGAGACTTTGATATTCAAACACAATTTGAATAAGTTGTATTTCTGTCTACCAAATTCTTTTTAAAAATGTGTCTCCTCGAAAATACATAACGTTACAGGTAATATTACATATACATATTTCCACTTTATATATATATATATATATATATATATATATATATATATATATATATAAAAAGAAATATGTTGTAGTAGTTCCGACGAGAGAAAAGTATGTATATTAAAAAGAAGAGAAGAGAGGTTCCGCAAACGTTTTTTGGTTGTAATGTGGATTTATATATATATATATATATATATATATATATATATATATATATATTTAATATGTTTAATAACCTAAACTAGCTCCGTCTGTCAATTGTTTTTCTTTATGAAATCTTCCAAATTCTTTTAATATGGCCGTGAGAATGCCGGAATTAAAAAAAAAAAAAAACAAGTTGCGTAACTCCAAAGAACAATACTTGAAAATAAATGGAACAACATTCCAAAATATCCGGGAAAAATAATATAGAATAAAA